TGGTGGACATAGTCGAAATCGACGGTCGAACACTCACACGGCATGCACGATAGATGAGGCTCAGGTTACATCAGCAATTGCATTAAATCTTATGGTCCTACGACAGACAGACAGTCTCAGACAGGTCAACGGTGAATGGTTAATAGTGAGGTACCACCCCTCATGAAAAACCAGCAGCCCTCCTTACTATAAAGGTGACGCACTTGAAACTATAGTGATAAGCTAAAAATAGATTACTCGGCTGCTTTTGGAAGGGCGGCCAGGCTGTAATGACCTGTGGTCACTGTGATGGCCGAGCCCGAGAGCTAGACGCGTGAGGCGGCAACTTTATGCCAGATCGTTCATCTGCAGCCGGTTTGACTTGGTAGTGTACCGGGGAGATGGCGAAAAATAAGTTAGACTTCAATGCACAAGGCCTTTGCCGAACAAAGTCTGAAAGTAGGAAGACACGCCAGCACGGGAGCTGATATGGTGCAGAACGGATAACTTGGTCCAACCCAGGACTGCGGTTTAGGTTACAATGATTTCTTCGTAACTCGGTCTTGACGACACCCTCACCTACGGAAGATCGGTGACCTTTTGAGGGCAGACTCGTGAAGCTGGGAATCAGCATGTGCGTGGCACACAGAGACGAATTGTTTAGCTTTTTTAGCCATCATACTCATGCCCAACGCCTGGATGGTAAGGTGTTGTCGTAATATTACGGCGAGGATGTACTGAAATAGGTGCATTGCAGTTCTCTGCAACGCCAGAGTTTCAGTCGCACCTCCTCCGTGACTGACTTTGTGGCTGGCGAGAGTCAAACTATCGGTCACAATCCCGCTTTGTACACTTTTATTAAGTCTCCAATTCCACGAATAAAGAGGTGGGTGGCAGTCACTTTGACGACACGGTCCGACCAAAACATGCCAGATGGAAGACATTCGCGGGTGAAAACGAATACGCCAGTGTACGCTACCACCGGATGCAGACGAAACTGTACGAAAATGCTAATTTACCGAGGGGCATAAGGGTGTATTTAGTCAACACCCCGGGCAAGAACTGATGACCAACCAATGCCCCGCTAGCATTCACTCGGAGCACAAGGTATATCAGCGGTCAACCCATTGAAGAAGTTAGCTGCTTCCGCTATTTGGGCTCGAATATGCTAGCTGACAGACAGGCCAAAGACGAAATCAAAGACCGAATCG